AAAGCTGCTGAGCAGCTTAACCATTCGCCATTATCGGCAATTTTTTCGAAAAACCGCAAAAGCTCCAGAACTCACTCAGGTAGTGAATTTTTTGCCTTGTATTAGCAAAAACTCCAATTTCCTGGTTGAATATTGTTGAACGGATAGTGCTTTGCAACTTCTATGTCAAAAATGATTTTGTATATCTCGTTGTAAAGCAGATTAACTTTTCTGCTGCTACTAAGTATACTTTTTCCGTGTAAGTTTGGGGAACTTATCCACCTGTATCAGCTATCATTTCTAAGCCATTCTATTTCCAGGGCCTATTTGGTGACCCGCAATTGAAAACAGCAAGCAGTTTCGCTGAGTTAAATAAACGAGTTCGAATTGAATGTACAGATCTAGTGAAACAAATTGAGGCGGGAAACAATAAACGAACAACTGTTAAACTATTCGATGATCTTTCAAATACAATATGTAAAGCTGCCGATTTGGTAGGTTTGCTTCATTGCCTTATGATGCGCTTATTCCATTTGATGACCAATTTCAACCTAGGTAGAATGCGTTCGACAACTGCACAATGATCCAACATACACACAAGCTGCACAAGAAAGTGCTAGTGATTTTTGTGAACTCGTGGAGAGGTTAGCTTTTACAATGTGTTATTAATTGTTTCTTCGAAAAGCCGTTTTAGTCTAAACACCTACACTGCTTTATATGATATGCTCAAGAAGTCAAAACAAACAGAGGCTGATCGGTTAGATGATGTGGATATACGCACTATAAACTTGTTTCTCAATGAGTTTGAGTTATCTGGTGTAAATCTTCCTGATGACAAGGTCGGTCTAACTAACTTATTCAGTATCCGTTACATCTTCTAAATTCTCTTCTTTCTTTATTTTTTATCTTAAGCGTGCCGAATTTGTGAGGTTATCCGGCGAAATTTTCAATGCCAGCGCAAAATTCCAGGCTGGATGTGACCGTGAAGTTGTAATCAGCAGGTAAAATGAAGATTTAAAGTCAGTGATTGGAATGTTCTCTCTCACCTTTCATCTGTGTTTGTTTGCATTGGAGCAATTGTTGGCTATCACCATATTAGCGGTAATCAGCTGACAAAAGTGCTCCAGTAAACCGCGCGCGTGAGAGAGAGGCCTGAAATCATTCTTGTATAATGTTTATTCTATCTTCATCAACTTATCCAGATTTTCAAAGTTGTTTTCAATCCACTTTCTATTTTTTAGGGCGCAAAAAAAGCAATATAGTCTGCCATCTACAAGGATAAGATCACCGTCTTCAAATTGTGTTGAGCAGGACAAGCGAAAATTCGTCTACACGACTTACTACCGACATAATAATGAGCAAGTTAGCTCTTGGCATAGCCTTCTGCATCTTATTAGCCTTAGCTGGAGTGTTTACCTGTTCACTCTTATATTCGTGAGCGAAAGCTGTTTTGCTGTGTAGGGAACAGAGAATGTGAAGAATATGATGTTATTATTTCGCTTTCTGTTCAAAAAAAAAAACCCTAGCACCTTTGAATTATTTTGCAATTTTTGCATTTTCGAAAAGCAAAAAAGGGTATTATTTCCATTTTCACCATTTTGATCTCTTAATTTTTAGGAACAAGAGCTCCGGAACCTTGTTTGTTATCGCGATGAACTAGCGCGACTCACAGGCTACACCTCATATGCCCATCGTGCTCAAGATAATACCCTTTTAGGAACTTACGAAAATGCCCATGACTTTTTATGGGGTGTGATACAGGTATGGTTTAGAGATTCCATAAGAACTTTTCTTTCATTTCTACTTCCCATTCGGTCGTCACCATTTTTTAATTTAATTTGAATAGGCTTGCCGACCTGCTGCTGAGCGAGAACTAGCCATATTAATGGACGTACAAGCCCAATGCAAATCCGATTCCTTTCATGGTGTGATTGGAGAATGGGATGTTCACTATTTATCGGAGATTTACAAGGTAAAGTTTGTGATCATCGTCAGCAACTCCTCTTCTTCCTATCTTGTTTAGTTGACCAGATTTTTGATTTTGGCAATTTTCAGGAACGAGCATATGGTACTGCGCATAAGAGGGAAGCTCATCAATTTCTAACCTTAGGCAATGTTTTGCTTGGATTTGGCACTCTCATCAATAAACTTTATGCTGTTCGCTTGGAAGAGCAACTCATAGAAAAAGGAGAGATGTGGTGTGGACACATTATAAAATTTGTGAGTGACGTTTCAGCTTATTCAGAAATTGATAAGGTAATCTCACTTTTCTGCTCTGAATCAAAATTCTTCTCTTGTAGGGCGTTTTCGATGCTTCAAATCGTTTCCTTGGCACCGTTTATCTAGATATTGATCGAAGGCCAACGAAAGCCGTGGGAGATTGCCATTTTACCGTACGATGCTCTAAAGAGGTATATTTAGACGATCTTTTTGTTTTTTTTTTTAAATAAACTTATAATATGGGGCGAGGTAGGTGTTAATCAGCTTCAATTCTAACGCTTCATTTTAGTTGCAAGATGGTAGCTGGCAAACACCTATTGTGGTCTTGTCCCTCTCACTTTGTGAAAACTACAATGGGTCTTGGAAAGATCTCCCAGTAAGCCAGTTTTCTATCTGTAAGCTTGTCAGTGGAAATATTCTTGCAACCATCCCTTCCACAATTTATTCCATTTAATTTTCCTTTTCCTCCGTCCAGAGCGGTGTCGTCACGCATATAGTTCTGACTGATTCTTATAAAATTTCCAATTTGTTGAATGCTACATGCAATACTAACGATTTCCCCGAATAAAGCCTTTTTTGCCTTGGTAAGCGTTCATATCCTATTATTTTAGGTTGACTTACACAGAGCCGAAAACACGTTTCATGAACTTGGTCACGCTATGCATAGCATGTTGGGGCGAACGAGATATCAACACGTTGCAGGTAGTTTTTTTTTCCTGTTATATTACTTTCGCAAGTATAATCTTAATATGTTCACCTGTAAAGGTACTCGTTGCCCACAAGATTTCTCGGAAATCCCATCTATTCTAATGGAGTATTTCTTTAGCGATTTGTCCGTAAGTCCGAGTAGTTTTTTT